AAAGACTTATGTTATTTGTTTATCAACTGTAATTTGTCCTTTTCCTTCGTGGTGATGAGGAACCAATCAAAATACCCCATCCCAATTTTATTGTGAAAGTTCTAGGAGGGTCGGAAACTTGTGTTGATAATTTAAGCAAGTAAGGATTCTTTCTCTCACATTCTTCTTTTATTCTTCCTAGTTTTCTTTTATTGAATTTTCTTTGATTGTTTAGCTATTATGATGCTTACTCTGTAGTACTCCCACCGTTATTCTTGCACATTTTTCTTTCTGATTATACTTCCAATTAGAGGTTCTCCCCTCTCAATTCTGTGGGGCAAAATGCAGCCAAAGAATTAAAAACAAATAATAAGGTGCTGGTGCATAGAGAGCTGTAGTTGATCAATTCTTGTGTATCTTGATGTTTGTTCATAAGCTGAAAAGAGTATATAAGAATGCAGCTAATGGGTTAACTCTGATTTACGTGAGGTATTTTCACTATTATCCACAACTAGCTTCTTTTTTATTTTGTAGTATGCAATAGCTTGCCCATATCCTCTATTTACTTACATTGATTTATCAAGAGCACATGCAGCATGTGCAGTGTCTATACATGTTCTGGCCTTGAATTTGGTAAACTTTACACCAGGATCATGCAGAATGTACAACCCCTTATTTTGGAGTTAATATTACTATTTTTGATATAAAATGTTTAGAAGACTCCTGCATGTTGCTTGTTGCTTTTGATATTAAATGCAAGAATTGATCCCATGTAGCACCCACTACATGGTGATCAAAATTCTAACTAATTCCAAATTTTAGCTTCACAAGTGCACAATCTGTTTTTCCCCTTTGTTCCCATGGTCTTGTTTGTAATGTAGGGATGGAGAGCTAGGCTACTTATGGAACAACTTTACACCCACAATGTTTGTTGTCATCCCACTTTAGGGAACAATATCTATGGAGATGATGTAAGGGAAACCCTCCTAAGATTGCAGTAAGGAAGGGAATGATGCAAATGTTGCTTACATCCTCATGCAAAGAATTTTTCCAATTATATTTCCTGTTATTCTGACGAGGAATGGCATCTGTCATAAAGATCAGGCCATATCAGAACTTGGTATATATGGTGCTTATCTAAGGTAACAAGAGTGTGTCATTGCTCCCATAACCAATGAATTTTTCATGCACCATAACTTTTATTTTTCACCTAATTATACATAGCCAACCACTCAGTTCGGCAAGGAGCTCCATAGAAAATTAGAGTAACCTTTAATAGAAATATTACATTAGATTTTTCTTGGAAATCCACCCAAATTAGTATCTTGTGTAAATATCATTGTATCCTATATGATTCAGTTAACAAGGCATGCGTATTGCAATGTGTATTGTGGCTAACAAGGCATGCGTATTCAAATCCCGTGGGCAATTTATTTGGGTGTTGCCTTGGTGGGTGATGTTGCATGTGTGTTGCTTTTGGCCTTTACAGGTGTTGTGTGCAAGTGTAGTCTTTGTATGTGTTAATTCCATGTTGCTTAAACTTAAATCAATAAATTTATTTTATTATATTTGTTTGTGGCAGGTGTGGAAGGAAGATTTTCTTGTGTGTTACTGAATTGTAGCAGTTGTGTTGCTCCATCAAAAAGAAAAACAATTCGGAACATGATTTTTTTTCTTAATTTCTTGTATCTAAAGTTGTATATATTTTAAATACAACTCAATTGCTGAATTTTTTTTCTTTTTTCTTTTGGAATGTAAACTGTATTCACACATTCATGTGTGCAAATATGTCAAAATGTACAATTCAAGCAGCTTGAAGTTTTTATTGATCCCAGATCCTTGTCCAACAGACTTGTCCCTTTTTGAATATCGTGCAGTTGAAATGAGATTTTACACTGGGCTACCCTTTTTTTCGTTGAACAACTTGAGAAAGTGTTAAACATCATTTTGGTACATAGAAACATAACTACAGGAAATAGATATTGCTTTCTCAGAAGGGAGGATCAGTCGATATGCTGAGACTAGCATTTTAGAATTTAATTCTATTTGCATGATAATTGTGAACTTACNATCAGTCGATATGCTGAGACTAGCATTTTAGAATTTAATTCTATTTGCATGATAATTTTGAACTTACTTTATAATCGAAAATAAAATTCATAAAAGCATAATTTTTTTTCTTCAGAAAATACCATTTTATTTATTAATAAAGCAGCAATTACAAGAAGCAAAGGAAAGGCATATATGCCTTAGCATAAAACAACTCAAAAATAAGGCACACCCGCCTATCAAAGCAAACAAAATACATCCAATGTTTTTTTTCATATTTCGACCAAGTTGTACTTTGCATGTATTCTATGTAAAACATTATAGAAAGACTTATAAATATAACAAAATCTTTCTAAAAATCCCTAAAAAGTAACCATTTCTAGCTTTAAAGTATAAATTTTCAAAAATCCCTTTCTTTATTTCTCTCCCTACCACCTCTGCAGCCTCTTTTCAAGTCTTTCTCCCCAGTTTCATTCTCACTACTTTTTCTGATTCTCTACCATTATCTATATCTCTCTCACGCTCTCTTCAAGACTCTAATTAGTTTATTCATTTGTATTAAAGAGTAATTCTGATCTTTTGAATCAATATTTTTGAAGTGATTGAACTACAAAAAGTTCAAGATAATATAATCCATAGGATTTAATATCTTTTTTACTCAGAATTGATCCAAATCGTGAAAAACTAAAGGGATTTGAAATATTTTATCCCTCATTATACATATTAATTATCTAAACATGGCAATCCATGGATTTAAGAATATGTGTATTATTTCCCATCAAAATTATCGTTATTCAAACGGGGCCCACATGTAATGTTTAATGTGTATTAGATGCTTAAATTATCGATAAGGAAAAATTTTATGTGACACCAACTTATAACATTGAACATTTTAGTTATGATACCACCTTGTAACAGTCTAAACAGAGGATTTCATACACATATTCGATTAATCTTAGTTTATGGTCTAGGCCTTACATTCGTTTCCATCATCTCCGTCTTTGTCTCCAACATCCATTCAACAGTCAACACAATNAATGTGTATTAGATGCTTAAATTATCGATAAGGAAAAATTTTATGTGACACCAACTTGTAACATTGAACATTTTAGTTATGATACCACCTTGTAACAGTCTAAACAGAGGGTTTCATACACATATTCGATTGATCTTAGTTTATGGTCTAGGCCTTACATTCGTTTCCATCATCTCCAACAGCCATTCAACAGTCAACACAACATAAGAACGAGTAAAACAAGATAAAGTAGGCCTTCATTCTATAAACTTCATTATTGAATTGAATATTTGGTGTTAGAGCTTGTGAAGGAAGAGTCACTCGCCCTCGTATTAGAAGATTATCTCACCCTATAATCGACATTCTATAGTTTAATAATTTGGAGCAAAATACATAAAATATAAATTAACACGAATATCCCGTAGTTAATTTTCTGTCANTATTTGGTGTTAGAGCTTGTGAAGGAAGAGTCACTCGCCCTCGTATTAGAAGATTATCTCACCCTGTAATCGACATTCTATAGTTTAATAATTTGGAGCAAAATACATAAAATATAAATTAACACGAATATCCCGTAGTTAATTTTGTGTCCCATAATTGATTTCATGAACGAAGAACCCTCATTGACAGTAAAGGAGGCACGCATTTCGATCATTATAAGACATGCAAGCACTTCGCTCATTTGACTGGGAAGCTGTTTTCATTGTGGCTTTTTGTATTCTTCTTTTCTTTTTTTAAAATTTTTGGTTAGGGTTTTGTTCTATTTTAAAAGCTTATTTCTGCATCGTTTGAATTCTCCATGTATCGATTAACCAACAAAGGTNTCATTTGACTGGGAAGCTGTTTTCATTGTGGCTTTTTGTATTCTTCTTTTCTTTTTTCTTTTTTCTTTTTTTTAAATTTTTGGTTAGGGTTTTGTTCTATTTTAAAAGCTTATTTCTGCATCGTTTGAATTCTCCATGTATCGATTAACCAACAAAGGTTAAACCACCACCATTTAATTTGTTAGCTTTATTTTGTAATTTGTACTTTACACTCTGAAAGATTTAAAATTTATTATTTTATACCCTCAAAAATAAAATTTCTTATATTCTACTCTTAATGTATCAAAAATATTACAATGTGGACTTTCTGTTAGTTTCTTATAAAAAATTACTCCGTTGATACTGATGAAAAAAATAACAGAATCTAATAGAAATGCCACATTATAACACTTTTGATATATTGACAGTAAAATGTGAAAGTTTTCATCATTAGGGATACAAAATAAAAATTCTTTAATTTTTTAAGTTACAAAGTGCGATTCTCCTTTTTAAATTAGGTGAACCGCATTTTCCAGAGAATGATCTCCTATATTGCATTGTGTTAAAAAATAAATTAGATGTTAAATCATACACCATTTGATTATTAAAAGAATGAAAATTGTAAAAAATGAGCACGACACGTTTATTAAATAATTTACACAACATTACCCATGGCACCGGATAAATAAATGAGTTCAATAATACTATTTAAATTTAATTTATTAATCTAATTCATTACAATCGTTAGATTAATAATGAATCTCAACAAATATTATGACCCACTACAGTGTNTGTCTATACATGTTCTGGCCTTGAATTTGGTAAACTTTACACCAGGATCATGCAGAATGTACAACCCCTTATTTTGGAGTTAATATTACTATTTTTGATATAAAATGTTTAGAAGACTCCTGCATGTTGCTTGTTGCTTTTGATATTAAATGCAAGAATTGATCCCATGTAGCACCCACTACATGGTGATCAAAATTCTAACTAATTCCAAATTTTAGCTTCACAAGTGCACAATCTGTTTTTCCCCTTTGTTCCCATGGTCTTGTTTGTAATGTAGGGATGGAGAGCTAGGCTACTTATGGAACAACTTTACACCCACAATGTTTGTTGTCATCCCACTTTAGGGAACAATATCTATGGAGATGATGTAAGGGAAACCCTCCTAAGATTGCAGTAAGGAAGGGAATGATGCAAATGTTGCTTACATCCTCATGCAAAGAATTTTTCCAATTATATTTCCTGTTATTCTGACGAGGAATGGCATCTGTCATAAAGATCAGGCCATATCAGAACTTGGTATATATGGTGCTTATCTAAGGTAACAAGAGTGTGTCATTGCTCCCATAACCAATGAATTTTTCATGCACCATAACTTTTATTTTTCACCTAATTATACATAGCCAACCACTCAGTTCGGCAAGGAGCTCCATAGAAAATTAGAGTAACCTTTAATAGAAATATTACATTAGATTTTTCTTGGAAATCCACCCAAATTAGTATCTTGTGTAAATATCATTGTATCCTATATGATTCAGTTAACAAGGCATGCGTATTGNTGGCTGCGAGCTACCTTGATCGTAGCTTCCCAACCTTGGTTAAACTTGGTGACTCACGGATATTTAAAGGGGCATCTCTATATTCGGGCAAACCTACTAAGCAACTGCCACTTGTTTCTGGTGAAACTGCAGGTGGCGAAGGTGCTAAGTATTGCACTGATGGCTCACTCTCTTCAAAGCANTGTGTATTGTGGCTAACAAGGCATGCGTATTCAAATCCTGTGGGCAATCTATTTGGGTGTTGCCTTGGTGGGTGGTGTTGCATGTGTGTTGCTTTTGGCCTTTACAGGTGTTGTGTGCAAGTGTAGTCTTTGTATGTGTTAATTCCATGTTGCTTAAACTTAAATCAATAAATTTATTTTGTTATATTTGTTTGTGGCAGGTGTGGAAGGAAGATTGTCTTGTGTGTTATTGAATTGTAGTAGTTGTGTTGCTCCATCAAAAAGAAAAACAATNACAGTGTATGGAGATCGTGCACCAATAATGGCAGCATTTTCATCGAGGGGGCCTAGTGTAATTGGACCGGATGTGATCAAACCTGATGTGACTGCACCTGGAGTGAATATTTTAGCTGCCTGGCCTCCAAATGTCAATCCAACACTGCTTAAGAGCGATAATAGAAGTGTTCTATTCAAAATAATCTCTGGCACATCAATGTCCTGCCCTCATGTTAGCGGCTTAGCTGCACTTCTGAGGTCTGTCCACAAGGATTGGTCACCGGCAGCTATCAAGTCGGCCTTAATGACAAGTGCTTATACTCTTGACAACAAAAAGACTCCAATTGCTGATGCTGTTTCTGGTAGTTCAAAATTTGCTACCCCCTTTGCATTTGGTTCGGGTCATGTTGATCCCAAGAGGGCTTCTGATCCAGGGCTAATTCATGACACAACCACTGAGGACTACCTGAATTTTTTGTGTAGTCTGAACTACCTCTTATCAAATTACCCTTTTATCTAGGAGAGATTTTACTTGCCCTAGTGATGCAGTTCTTCAGCCAGGTGACTTAAACTACCCTTCTTTTGCAGTTCTTTTCCATGCTAAGGGTCAAAATGCTACAGTGACATCAGAGAACTGTGACAATGTTGGTAGCCCCACAAGTACATACACTGTGCCCAGAGTTCTACATTTCAAGACATTAGGCCAGAAACTGAGATACAAAGTGAGTTTTATTCCACTGGGAGAAGGCACTTCTTCAGCCACTTCCTCATTTGGATATCTAGTTTGGGTTTCTGGGAAATACAAAGTCAAAAGTCCCATTGCAGTCACTTGGCAGTAATTGCTAAGGATAAGCAATGGTTGTAATAAATCAAAAGAACTATAGTTGCTTAGTTGCTGAAAGTGTAGTAGGGTATGATCTAGTACTAGGAGGGGACTCCGATGCCCAAGGTCAATTGTTCAACCCTTGTGTCTGAAAGTACTGTTGTGCCAGTTTAAAGAAATTTAAGAATAAAGTGCCTTAGAAAGTTATTGGAAGAATTTTGGATTTCAGTTTACTTGTAAATGGAAAGGGTATGACTTATTTAAGTTTCTATACAATGAGCCCTGATAATTAACCTAGCTAAACGCCGTATAAAGAATTATGACTACTATAAACCAATTGATTATATTCTTCAAAATCTTGAACTGTAAAGACCTTTTAGAAGAAGAAAAATAAGAAGACGATGAAGAAGAAGATGATGATGATGACGATGAAGGAGGACAACGAGCCAGAGCATGAGGGTACTATGCTGAACACAATACTTGACTTCAATGTNATAAGAACGAGTAAAACAAGATAAAGTAGGCCTTCATTCTATAAACTTCATTATTGAATTGAATATTTGGTGTTAGAGCTTGTGAAGGAAGAGTCACTCGCCCTCGTATTAGAAGATTATCTCACCCTGTAATCGACATTCTATAGTTTAATAATTTGGAGCAAAATACATAAAATATAAATTAACACGAATATCCCGTAGTTAATTTTGTGTCCCATAATTGATTTCATGAACGAAGAACCCTCATTGACAGTAAAGGAGGCACGCATTTCGATCATTATAAGACATGCAAGCACTTCGCTCATTTGACTGGGAAGCTGTTTTCATTGTGGCTTTTTGTATTCTTCTTTTCTTTTTTTAAAATTTTTGGTTAGGGTTTTGTTCTATTTTAAAAGCTTATTTCTGCATCGTTTGAATTCTCCATGTATCGATTAACCAACAAAGGTTAAACCACCACCATTTAATTTGTTAGCTTTATTTTGTAATTTGTACTTTACACTCTGAAAGATTTAAAATTTATTATTTTATACCCTCAAAAATAAAATTTCTTATATTCTACTCTTAATGTATCAAAAATATTACAATGTGGACTTTCTGTTAGCTTCTTATAAAAAATTACTCCGTTGATACTGATGAAAAAAATAACAGAATCTAATAGAAATGCCACATTATAACACTTTTGATATATTGACAGTAAAATGTGAAAGTTTTCATCATTAGGGATACAAAATAAAAATTCTTTAATTTTTTAAGTTACAAAGTGCGATTCTCCTTTTTAAATTAGGTGAACCGCATTTTCCAGAGAATGATCTCCTATATTGCATTGTGTTAAAAAATAAATTAGATGTTAAATCATACACCATTTGATTATTAAAAGAATGAAAATTGTAAAAAATGAGCACGACACGTTTATTAAATAATTTACACAACATTACCCATGGCACCGGATAAATAAATGAGTTCAATAATACTATTTAAATTTAATTTATTAATCTAATTCATTACAATCGTTAGATTAATAATGAATCTCAACAAATATTATGACCCACTACAGTGTCAGTCCCAATGGGTTATAAATAATTAGTCCAATCAACAACTTGAAATCCACCGAGGTTTAATTGAAAAATTATTGGATAACTCAGTTTCTAAAAATTTGGTCTAATTATGTTTATATGTTTACAACGATCTTGATGTGTATTATTTTAGTGTACTTTACNGCACCGGATAAATAAATGAGTTCAATAATACTATTTAAATTTAATTTATTAATCTAATTCATTACAATCGTTAGATTAATAATGAATCTCAACAAATATTATGACCCACTACAGTGTTAGTCCCAATGGGTTATAAATAATTAGTCCAATCAACAACTTGAAATCCACCGAGGTTTAATTGAAAAATTATTGGATAAGTCAGTTTCTAAAAATTTGGTCTAATTATGTTTATATGTTTACAACGATCTTGATGTGTATTATTTTAGTGTACTTTATCATATACATGAAGAGGTTGATTTACAGTATAAGAAGAGAATAGTAATGTTTTCTCAGTTTAACTGACGTGAGACAAACATATAAGACATTAACTAGGATCATCACTCATTAATGGTAAATAACCCGAAGAAAATTAAAAAGAGAATATATATATATATATATATTGGAAGGCATCTGGATCCATTTCCACCAAGTCTATTTTCTTGAAAATGTCTAGTCATTGGATGCTCAAGATTTTCTGATGATTCTCCCAAAATGAAGGAGATCGGTCAAGTGCAGGCAAAATTAACTAATCCGATAATTCCTCATAATCTAATCCTAAGAATTGCTAAAGACGTCTGAGTTTGAGCATAAATATATGTTCCCATCACTCTCTCTCTCCCTCCCTCTCTCTCCGGTGGCTCCTTTTTGGGAATTATAGCCATTGCATGCCTTGATGATCGCATGCACACCTCTGAAAGGCCAACCTCCTTAGGGTGGTCATCGATTCGTACCTTTTGAGTTTGGTTATACTCAAGCTCATCTTGAATTGACAATCACAAGTATTAGCTCGGTTGTTGAGATTGGATTGTTGTTTGTGTTCGTTTGATTTTTAGAAAGTGTGATCAATTTTAGGATGACTCGATTCATTTTTGTATTACGAGCTCGAGCTCGAGCTCGAATTTGAGTTTAAACTCAAACAAACCGGAAAAAAAAAGTTGACAATTGAAATTATTAATTTAAGCAGAAGTTTGTCGTTATGCTCGGGCTCAGCTCAGCTTAGCTTAAATACTTGACGAGTTCAAAATACAGAGAATCTTGTGGGGATTGAATGAGGGCTAAGTAGCGCCTTTTGGTCCCCAGGGTCTCTGCCCTCTGATTCGATAGAGGAACTGGCCAGTAATCTGGTGCGCCTGTGTGGCTTCGGCTTGCTGAACGTTGTTCTGATTCTGTTGAGGGGCTGGTCTGGTGGTCTTGCTGTAGCTCGTGGCCTTGTCTGTTGAGTTGCCTGTTGAGGTCTACCTAAAAATCCCCCTGAGCCGGGAGATTGAAATGCAACCAAACACNTTCTGTTGAGGGGCTGGTCTGGTGGTCTTGCTGTAGCTCGTGGCCTTGTCTGTTGAGGTCTACCTAAAAATCCCCCTGAGCCGGGAGATTGAAATGCAACCAAACACCTGGAGCTTAGCTTGAATAAGAGGTTAAGTTCATCTATTGATATATTTGAGAGTCAACAAATCGAAATTGAACCTAGCTCCAGCACCATTCTCCATATTTTTCTCTTGGGTTGAATAGAAAGAGAGATACATTCATCTCTCTCTCTCGGTGCGACTGTTTTGTGTAGTTAAGTGCTTGTGTTTGTGTGTGCNGTCAACAAATCGAAATTGAACCTAGCTCCAGCACCATTCTCCATATTTTTCTCTTGGGTTGAATAGAAAGAGAGGTACATTCATCTCTCTCTCTCGGTGTGACTGTTTTGTGTAGTTAAGTGCTTGTGTTTGTGTGTGCGCATGTGTTTTGGAGCACATACAACTCAATGTGTTACATGGTTAGATGCGTGTTTGTCATCATCCTGCATATCTGTAATCTTTCTAGTTGTGTTGTACGCATTTGGCCACTTATGGGATTTAGTCATTGCTTGCAATGGTTTAATAGTTATGGCGAAGCTCAGCCCAAAGCAAATATTAAATATATAAATGACACGCCCTGGTATGTTATTATTACAACGAACAATCAATTGTGACAACGGAACAATGCATATATAGCATATGGAAAACCAAGAGACAGAGTGAAGAGAAATCCAAAAAATGTGCATAATAGGATTCCCAAAGAGGCGGGACACATACGCTATCACTCCTAGAAGAAGCAATTCTAGCCATGAAGGCATGTTTGAGATCACTCTTCCTCAAAATTGTATAGAAAGATGAACCAAAACTACCCTTCCATTGTTCGGCCTTTACTTTGAGAAAAAATTACTTATTAAGAAACACTTGGTGTTAGAAACTTAAGCTTTTTTTAAATTCATGGTGAATTAGAATAACCATAAATGTTTGTATTAATATGGGGTTTTTGTTTATGTAGCCAAAATGATTTTCAGAATGTCGTTTTTGTTGCTGACTTTCATGGCTTCAACTTCATTTGCTTCGCCTGAAAGACAAACATACGTAGTCCACATGGACAAGACCAAGATCATGACTTTAGACAATTCTCTTGGCACTAACAAAAGATGGTACGAAGCAATCATCAGCTCAATCACTGAATTCTAAGCTCAAGAAGAAGAAGAAACATCTTCCCCTGATCTTCTCTAAGTCTATGAAACCGCCATTTCTGGTTTTGCAGCAAAACTCTCCTTGAAACAGCTCGAATCATTGAAAAAAGTTGAGGGCTTCCTCTCAGCTATCCCTGACGAAATGCTGAGCCTCCACACCACTCACTCACCTCAGTTTCTAGGCCTTAAGAATGGCAAAGGACTCTGGAATGCTGTAAACATGGCCTCTGATGTGATTATTGGCATTGTTGATAGTGGAATATGGCCAGAGCACACGAGTTTCCAGGACTCTACCATTTCCCCAGCGCCTTCCCGTTGGAAGGGCACTTGTGAGGTTGGCACAAAGTTCACAATTTCAAACTGTAACAAGAAGCTAATTGGTGCAAGAGCCTTTTACAAAGGGTATGAGGCCAGTGCTGGAAGGATCGATGAAACAGTGGACTATCGATCACCTCGAGACTCAAAGGGGCATGGAACACACACTGCTTCAACTGCAGCAGGTAATCTGGTCACTGGAGCTAGCTTTCAAGGTCTTGCCAAAGGCTCAGCTGGTGGCATGAAGTATACAGCAAGAATTGCAGCCTATAAAGTTTGCTATGCATTGGGTTGTTCAAGCTCTGATATATTAGCTGCCATAGACCAAGCTGTCAGTGATGGGGTTGATGTTTTGTCCCTCTCTTTAGGAGGTGCTCCGAAGCCTTATTATAACGATAGCATGGCTATCGCCTCATTTAGTGCAGTCCAAAATGGGGTTTTTGTTTCATGTTCAGCAGGAAATTTTGGGCCATCTAGTTCAACTGTTACTAATGGTGCCCCATGGATCATGACCGTGGCTGCGAGCTACCTTGATCGTAGCTTCCCAACCTTGGTTAAACTTGGTGACTCACGGATATTTAAAGGGGCATCTCTATATTCGGGCAAACCTACTAAGCAACTGCCACTTGTTTCTGGTGAAACTGCAGGTGGCGAAGGTGCTAAGTATTGCACTGATGGCTCACTCTCTTCAAAGCATGTCAAAGGGAAGATTGTAGTGTGTGAAAGAGGAATAAATAGCAGAGTGGAGGAGGGAGAGCAAGTGAAAATGGCTGGTGGGGCTGGAATGATATTAGTGAACCAAGAAGATCAAGGTGAAGAGCTTTTTGCTGATCCNAAATAAATAAGCACACAAGATTTACGTGGTTCCCTCAAATAACTTGAGGTACATCCACGACGACCGGTAGGTCAGTTTCTTCCACTATCACCAAATCAGATTACAAAGTGGCCAAAAGGCATAAGCCTTACAAACACACCAAGGTGTAAATCACAAGAGGAAAATACCTCACAAAATAAGTGAACCAAATCTCCAAGAACAAACCGCAAGAAACCCAAATATCAAGTGAAGAAATGTTACCCACTTGAAGAACAAATTTGCAGATTTTTCTGGCACCAAAAAAGGAGAAGAAGAAGGCTGAATTTTTTGTTGAACCAAAGACTGCCGAAAATATGTCTTCTTGTCAAACCAACAGAGAAGAGATGAACCAAAGAAAAAGACAAAACTTATAGTCTTTTGTGGCTGCCAAATTCCTTTTAACTTGAAGACTCCAAACTAAGCCTTGGATAAGAGTCANGTGGCTGCGAGCTACCTTGATCGTAGCTTCCCAACCTTGGTTAAACTTGGTGACTCATGGATATTTAAAGGGGCATCTCTATATTCGGGCAAACCAACTAAGCAACTGCCACTTTTTTATGGTGAAACTGCAGGTGGCGAAGGTGCTGAGTATTGCACTGATGGCTCACTCTCTTCAAAGCATGTCAAAGGGAAGATTGTAGTGTGTGAAAGAGGAATAAATAGCAGAGTGGAGGAGGGAGAGCAAGTGAAAATGGCTGGTGGGGCTGGAATGATATTAGTGAACCAAGAAGATCAAGGTGAAGAGCTTTTTGCTGATCCACACATTTTGCCAGCAACTTCTTTAGGTGCTTCAGCTGGTGTTACAATCAAAAATTATATAAGCTCAGTGAAGAAACCAACAGCTTCTATAGTTTTTGAAGGAACAGTGTATGGAGATCGTGCACCAATAATGGCAGCATTTTCATCGAGGGGGCCTAGTGTAATTGGACCGGATGTGATCAAACCTGATGTGACTGCACCTGGAGTGAATATTTTAGCTGCCTGGCCTCCAAATGTCAATCGAACACTGCTTAAGAGCGATAATATAAGTGTTTTATTCAAAATAATCTCTGGCACATCAATGTCCTGCCCTCATGTTAGCGGCTTAGCTGCACTTCTGAGGTCTGTCCACAAGGATTGGTCACCGGCAGCTATCAAGTCGGCCTTAATGACAAGTGCTTATACTCTTGACAACAAAAAGACTCCAATTGCTGATGCTGTTTCTGGTAGTTCAAAATTTGCTACCCCCTTTGCATTTGGTTCGGGTCATGTTGATCCCAAGAGGGCTTCTGATCCAGGGCTAATTCATGACACAACCACTGAGGACTACCTGAATTTTTTGTGTAGTCTGAACTACCTCTTATCAAATTACCCTTTTATCTAGGAGAGATTTTACTTGCCCTAGTGATGCAGTTCTTCAGCCAGGTGACTTAAACTACCCTTCTTTTGCAGTTCTTTTCCATGCTAAGGGTCAAAATGCTACAGTGACATCAGAGAACTGTGACAATGTTGGTAGCCCCACAAGTACATACACTGTGCCCAGAGTTCTACATTTCAAGACATTAGGCCAGAAACTGAGATACAAAGTGAGTTTTATTCCACTGGGAGAAGGCACTTCTTCAGCCACTTCCTCATTTGGATATCTAGTTTGGGTTTCTGGGAAATACAAAGTCAAAAGTCCCATTGCAGTCACTTGGCAGTAATTGCTAAGGATAAGCAATGGTTGTAATAAATCAAAAGAACTATAGTTGCTTAGTTGCTGAAAGTGTAGTAGGGTATGATCTAGTACTAGGAGGGGACTCCGATGCCCAAGGTCAATTGTTCAACCCTTGTGTCTGAAAGTACTGTTGTGCCAGTTTAAAGAAATTTAAGAATAAAGTGCCTTAGAAAGTTATTGGAAGAATTTTGGATTTCAGTTTACTTGTAAATGGAAAGGGTATGACTTATTTAAGTTTCTATACAATGAGCCCTGATAATTAACCTAGCTAAACGCCGTATAAAGAATTATGACTACTATAAACCAATTGATTATATTCTTCAAAATCTTGAACTGTAAAGACCTTTTAGAAGAAGAAAAATAAGAAGACGATGAAGAAGAAGATGATGATGACGACGATGAAGGAGGACAACGAGCCAGAGCATGAGGGTACTATGCTGAACACAATACTTGACTTCAATGTGCTCTACGGAGTATTTAATTTGTGTATAACTAACTCTTCTTAAATCTCGGAATACTTGGACCCATCCATTTTTGTAAGTATGGTGCCTACCCTTTAGTGTTACTTTCACCTAAGAATTGTCATGTCAAAAGCCAAGGGGCCATTCAATTTTCTAGAGTTTTTTATCGGTTTACCTTTCGTTTTTTTACAACTTTTTTGTCACATATATATTTTTTGTCACATATATTGACAATATGTTTTTGAANCTAGAGTTTTTTATCGGTTTACCTTTCGTTTTTTTACAACTTTTTTGTCACATATATTGACAGTATGTTTTTGACATATGACTTTATAAAAAAAAAAGATAATTTGGTAAATAAGTTTGAAACTATAGTACTGTCGTAAAAAATTGTGGAATTTTTGCAGGATATTCATCCTCAACCCTTCATGTTGGATTTCAGCTTCCAAAAGCCAGGGATTGGGTCCATGGGTGAGAACCAAAAGTCCATTTCTCAAGAGATTAGGTAGCATGCAGCTTTATTCTCTCTCTCTCATCATGTCTTAAGGCGTAAACTCTGGAAGAAAAAGAAAAAAGTGGGAAGATATAGATACCTATTGCAGAATGTAACAATTATTTCGGGCTAACGTTATCAATGCAGTAGGTTGATTATTCTTTAATTATATCAATTGGACAATTTTTAGGAGATTTTTATTTATTTTTTAATTTAATTAGGAAGTTGCTTACTTTTATTATTTTTTTGTCTTAATTAAGATTTTATTTTATTTAGTTTTCTAATTATTTAGGATTCTAGTTTTCCACTACTATATAAACTCTTGCAAGTTGCGAGCCTTAAGCCAAAGAAGTTTTTTGATTGATTAATACAATTGAGAGAATTGTCTTTTTTATTCTCAATTCTTCTATTATTCTTTAAAAATTAACAAATTTATTAAAATTTTTAGAACTGGTATTCTTGTAATCAATAGACGGCGAAAAAAAAAAATAGACATAGAGTATATGTACGCATTGATGCATTGTTACTTTTTTTTTTTTTGCTACGGACTACTCTTTCGAGTTTTGAGATCGACCACCATAACTCGAGTTAATTTAAAAATATGTCTCAGAGGAATAAAAGTGGTTGATTCTTAAAAAATGCGAGAAAAATCGAAAACCTCTTACTTACAAAAAAAACATTCTTGACCATTGATCACACATGAGAAAAGAACCCGAGAGACGTGAAGAGAAACCCAAAAGATTGGTTATAATAACACAGGTTGGCCCCTGAACTTGTTAAGTAGAAAAATTTTGGGAGAATCAAGTAAGATCAACTAGACTTCAAATTACAAATCTTTTGGGGGACGGGCCCATCCTAAATTTTTTTAAAAAAAATTCTTATCTATAAATATTTTTAAAAACTTCTAATATATTTTATAGTGCTCATCCTATATATTTTGTGTCCAATCTATCAATTTTTTGTTCTATCAAGGTAGTATAGACAATACTTAATTAACTATGAATTTTTGGACACACTTTACACGTTACAGACACGTCTAGACAAATTTATTTTTTTAAGTTATGAAAATTGTGAAGATTAAGTTATATAATCAAAAGAGTGAGTTAATTATTTGCATAGAAAAAGATATTCTTCATAGTATGGATAATGAAGTTATCATACAATATCTTTAAAGTATGAAAACTAATTGAAATCAATTGTAAATAATTATAATTAGCCTCTTTTCATTTTTT